ACGGAATGTACGTATTAAACCCTATTATGATTCGTGCACCATACAGATTTCATAATTTTAAGAATGCGTGCGTGCGTGTGCGCGTATGTGTTAGTGTGTGCGTGTACGTGTGTGTGTTAGAGCCCCCCCCCCCGCCACACACACGTACACGCACACACTAACACATACGCGCACATGCACGCACCATAAAAATGTTTTTAATTTAAAAGATTGTGACTTTCAGACTTTTAAATGTGTTCAGCACGTAGCTCACGCCTGGTTTGTAAAACCTCTATATATGTTATACTGAGCGAGAGCTTATAATTATACTATCACTGCCGCATTTGCCATTGTCGTTTAGCTAGGTGTATACCATCAGGAGCTAATAATGACAAATTATTAGCTTCTGTCAATTTGTAATAATTTTTCATTGTAATTTTAATTAATTTTCATTTTAATTCATCATAATAATTTTTCATATTCAATTCAACAAATTTGTCATTATTAGCTCCTGATACCATGTATGTGACACCGTAATGTGAGCGACAGACTGTGTGGACGATTATTTGTTGCACGCGTTTAGCTGTTACGTCATAGCTGTTACGTCATAGCTGTTACGTCATAGCTGTTACGTCATAGCTGTTACGTCATAGCTGTTACGTCATAGCTGTTACGTCATAGCTCCCCTCTCCGATTCTTGTCTCGATTTGCGTGTATTCGTAATGACGTTAATTGTCTTAATTAAATATGGCCGCTTGCTATGCTTCTGTAGAATATTATGCTTATGTTAAAAGTGGTAATTGTCGTTGGCGTGGCAACGCGACGGCGTCTGTTGTCTTATGGACGATAGCGATGTTTAGATAAAAAAACGAGTTGTCTTAGTGTGTTATAATAATGAATTCTCTATTGCGTTTGTTCTGAATAAATACAAAATACGTAAGACCGTTTTAATTCTGACTGATGGTTATATTCTTTGGTTACATACTTCTCTACAGAGAAAGCCAAAAGCGCGATTAAAAATTATTCCACTCCTGCGCGTACACGAAACCACACACGTACACGCGCAGGTGCACGCACGCGCGATACATGTATACCACACACAACGATATATAGTGAGAGGGGGCGTGCGGGAGAGAAAGAGAGAGAGAGTGAGAGAGAGAGAGACAGAAAGAGAGAGAGCGCGCGCACACGAGAGGAGAAAGAGAGAGAGAGAGAGGGGGGGCGTGCGGGAGAGAGTAGAGCGAGAGAGAGCGCACACGAGAGGGAAGAAGAGAGAGAGAGAGGGGGGGCGTGCGGGAGAGAGTAGA